ACATACGTTCATTAATAAAATTAAAATTTACAAGTGCAGTTTTGATAATTACTCCCACTAGCTTCTGGTTTTCTACTGAACAAACCTACGATTTTTTTCCATTCACAGAATATAATTAAACCGTTTAATTTAATGAATTATCAGCCGTAGTTTATTAATTGGAACAAGACAATGTACTTTTCACAGAACAGACGTCAACTGATTAACTTGATGTAATATTAACATTAGTTTATTAAGTTCAACAATATTGATCTTTATCAGAACGTATTTAACTTAATGAGAAATCAACTGTAAGTTAAGTCAGATATCGTATAACTGTTAAACCGTCGATTTTATGAGGTAGATATTCAAATATCTTTTTATTTCGATATAAAAGAATGGCAATAAACAATGTTTTATTGGCGTTTTTATCCAACATTTTACAAAATAGGCTTAACTTTACTGTGAAACAAGTTGAATATTGAAGACTTCCGATTGCGAAACTTAAACGGAAATTTATTTATTTTTTTCTAACAGAAACACAAGAGCACCTTATGCTTTAAATTGATGAAACAAAAGTCCATGGAGTAGTTTATTACTGAAGTTTTACGAAATATAACTCACCTTTAATTATAAAAACTTGTGAGAAAAATTAAAGACGAACGGTTATCATTATGTCAACCACACTATATCCAAAGCTGAAGAGGACTGTCGCTCAGTACCAAGTTCCTTACAAAATTGTCCAGTATACTTCAAATGCCATATGTTTGAAACAAACTTCAAAGATACAGACATAAAGAGGGAAAGTGTACGAAAAATGTTGGTCCTGTGAAGGCACAAATGACGACACACACACATACGAACAGAAAATAGTGAAGATACACAGACTGACTTAAACGTTTTATTTTGAATTTCATCACTCAAAATATGATAAAAAATTTAATTTCTTTAAGATTATAACTTTTATTATTAGTCTTATTAACATTTAAGACAAGAGTGCGAGAAAAATTACTTCAGGATATAAAGGGCAAAGCTTACAACACATCCCAATATAATTAGTTTAAGTCAGGTACGTTCTACTTCCCTGCAGTTCACAGCTTTAGCAAGTTTCAGTACACGTCCTTTCTATCATTAGACCTCAATATTATCTTCAATTCTCCTTTCTTGAGTTAAGTATGGAGTAGTTAACAACGACAATGTCAGCTTCTCACTCACGTTCAGTACAAAGTTTGTAGGCGCATTAAATAAGATACATTTTATCACAGTCAAATTAAACAACCTTGAGCATTAGTTAAGTCCTTGTTTCTACTGAACTATTTACCCACATCATGCTATAATAAATCTTGAAGGACAGCTACAGCCTACACTAACACCCTGTGTAGGACAGCTACAGCCTACACTAACACCCTGTGTAGGACAGCAACAGCCCACACCAGCTGTCTAACACCCTGTGTAGGACAGCTACAGCCTACACTAACTGTCTAACACCCTGTGTAGGACAGCTACAGCCTACACCAACTGTCTAACACCCTGTGTAGGACAGCTACAGCCTACACCAACTGTCTAACACCCTGTGTAGGACAGCTACAGCCTACACCAACTGTCTAACACCCTGTGTAGGACAGCTACAGCCTACACTAACACCCTGTGTAGGACAGCTACAGCCCACACCAACTGTCTAACACCCTGTGTAGGACAGCTACAGCCTACACTGACACCCTGTGTAGGACAGCTACAGCCTACAATAACACCCTGTGTAGTACAGCTACAGCCCACACCAACTGTCTAACACCCTGTGTAGGACAGCTACAGCGTACACCAACTGTCTAACACCCTGTGTAGGACAGCTACAGCCCACACCAACTGTCTAACACCCTGTGTAGTACTGCTACAACCTACACCAACTGTCTAACACCCTGTGTAGTACAGCTACAACCTACACCAACTGTCTAACACCCTGTGTAGTACAGCTACAACCTACACCAACTGTCTAACACCCTGTGTAGTACAGCTAACAGTCTACACCATCTAACATGCTGTACAACACATCTAACTGTCTAACACCTTGTGTAGCACAGCTAACAGTTTACATCAACTGTCTAATACACTGTACAACACAGCTAACAGTCTACACTAACTGTCTAACACACTGTACAACACAACTAACAGCCTACACCAACTGTCTAACACCTTGTGTAGCACAGCTAACAGTTTACATCAACTGTCTAACACACTGTACAACACAGCTAACAGTCTACACCAACTGTCTAACACAACACACTGTACAACACAGCTAACAGTTTACATCAACTGTCTAACATGCTGTACAACACAGCTAACAGTCTACACCAACTGTCTAACATGCTGTACAACACAACTAACAGCCTACACCAACTGTCTAACACCTTGTGTAGCACAGCTAACAGTTTACATCCAACTGTCTAACACACTGTACAACACAGCTAACAGTTTACATCAACTGTCTAACATGCTGTACAACACAGCTAACAGTCTACACTAACTATCTAACATACTGTACAACACAGCTAACAGTTTACATCAACTGTCTAACACCTTGTGTAGCACAGCTAACAGTTTACATCAACTGTCTAACACACTGTACAACACAGCTAACAGTTTACATCAACTGTCTAACATGCTGTACAACACAGCTAACAGTCTACACCAACTGTCTAACATGCTGTACAACACAGCTAACAGTCTACACCAACTGTCTAACATGCTGTACAACACAGCTAACAGTTTACATCAACTGTCTAACACACTGTACAACACAGCTAACAGTTTACATCAACTGTCTAACATGCTGTACAACACAGCTAACAGTCTACACCAACTGTCTAACATGCTGTACAACACAGCTAACAGTTTACATCAACTGTCTAACACACTGTACAACACAACTAACAGCCTACACCAACTATCTAACACACTGTACAACACATCTAACAGACTACACCAACTGTCTAACATACTGTACAACACAGCTAACAGACTACACCTTGTGTAGCACAGCTAACAGTTTACATCAACTGTCTAACACACTGTACAATACAACTAACAGCCTACACCAACTGTCTAACACCCTGGGTAGCACAGCTAACAGTCTACACCAACTATCTAACACACTGTACAACACATCTAACAGACTACACCAACTGTCTAACACACTGTACAACACATCTAACAGTCTACACCAACTGTCTAACACATTGTACATCATAGCTAACAGTAATTACTGACTGTATGAATATAATTGACTTTTTAAGGCTGTTGCTATTACAATATTATTTATGAACATTACATTTTGATTGGACTTGATTTGGAATTATTCTGTCACCATGTTATTTAGTTACTCAATATATCCAGGTTGTCCAATCTCTTCTGAATAGTTGGGATAATGAATACTCTTTTAAAATAGCATTTTGATCTTTCTGTCTTTCATAATACCATGTGTGGTAGATATTATATAAGTCTATTTAAAACATTACAAACATAGTTCTGGACACCTCATTGGCAGAATACATACAAGATTTTACACAGTTGTTGTTTGTAAAGTCTGGCATGACTGCTTTGTAATAACACCTATCAACAGTTGTTACTATTCATTCATGTTCTCCGTAACACCACCATTACCATGGCAATGAAATAGATTTGTATCTAGTTCCAGAATTGTGCTGTTCGTTTACATAACAACATATTTTGCTAACCATCTTGTTATCTAATTGGTTGAAATGTCAGACTGGGGTAACAGTCAAGGCTTCAATGTTCCCTTGTGACTTGACTCGTCTGTGACCATCAGCCTGTTTAGATTTCGGTAGAGAATACTGGAAGCCAATGGCCTGATGGAAATCTTGTTTCATCTTTAAGTCCATAGCTCGACTTGAGGAACCCTGGAGATATCAGAGGTGGAACAGTAGTTAACGGAATAAAAACAATATAATATGTGGACCCCACAGCAGTTAATGGAATAAAAACAATATAATATGTGGACCCCACAGTAGTTAATGGAATAAAAACAATATAATATGTGGACCCCCACAGTAGTTAACGGAATAAAAACAATATAATATGTGGACCCCCACAGTAGTTAACGGATTAAAAACAATATAATATGTGGACCCCACAGTAGTTAACGGAATAAAAACAATATAATATGTGGATCCCCACAGTAGTTAACGGAATAAAAACAATATAATATGTGGACCCC